GTTTTATATTATTCACAATAATAATGGACATAAAAATGTATTTGTTTTTCTTTACTTTTAAGTTGTGTACAATCATTAAGATATAAAAAGTATTTAGAACAAATGTTTTAGTTTGTTTAAAAAAAAAGGTAAAAGTTAACAGTTGCAGGACATTCAGGTGACATCTTTCTTTTATATAGAGGTTATGTCTACGTCCATCATGTCTAACGTTGAAGCTTTATCCACAGCTCCTTTTGATGCCCGCTTTCCAAATCAAAACCAAACCAGGTTTGTAATAATTCTTTTTTTATGTTTGTGTAATAACTAAACATGGAAGGACTTCCACACCTGTTGTTCACTTGGTTAAGAGAAAAAAACAAAAAAACTATAGTTAAGATGAAAGGAAATTTGTAAGAGTAAATAAGGACATAATAATATCTTTTGTAAGTTGAAATTATGATTAATACAACTGGGAGATAATAAGACATAGTTTGGAAGTCATTTTCCATACTGCCATCAATATACAAACACCAAGAGAGAGTACGATAAGGAATGGTATAAGTTGTAGAACTAACTATTTACTTGGTACTATTTTAAAAGTGAGTTAATGAATTTCATAACAAAACATTTGGTATATTTTCCTCCAGCTTAGCAAGCGTTGAGCTGCTTTTTGTGTGAGAAGAGGAAAAATCCACTCTATACTTTAAATAAAAGTGGTTTTCTCTGACAGTACATGATCTCTAATAACATGTGAACTGCATAACAAAAACGCTATCAGTGTTGGAATTATTCCCATTATATGCTGATGGGGTCGTCTACCTGTTTTAGATAGAACATGAGTGATTTCGTCTAGTTTAACAGGCAGAAACATAAAATTATTCAATACATGCAACAGATAGACTCCACCAGTGTAATTTTATGGATAAGTTTCAATAAATGTTTCAACTGTTGCTGTGTTTCAAGAATGTTTGTTTCATGAATTTATCACTGAATGTACTTTTTTACTTTAAAAATTTGCATAACTGAGTAAGTTATAAGGTAACTCTTTCTGTTATAAAATAATTAGTTTGGTAAAATATATATATATATAAATTTGATGATAAGATAAAGTTAAATTGCATCTCCTGAACTTGTTTCTCAATCTGTGTTCGATGAAATGTAACCACGTATATTAGAGAGTGTTATAAATAAAAAATTAAATAATTGGATATATTAATTTACAGGTCGGTAATGGTGTCCCACGAGTGTTTCCATATCATGCTTATGATGACTTAGCTTGTTGTTGATAAATGACAATTTCAGAGATAGTACATATTTAACAATTTGAAAGAAAAAATAACAGTGGGTAGATTTGTGTAAGTTTTGTTTATTGAATATAGAGATAGATTTTACACTCATTTCATGCAAGCAGAACCACATTAGCTCTGGACTAGTATGTATGGAATTCATAATAGTCCAGAGTGGAAATTTGATAGTCCCTGTCATCAAGTTAATGGACTTTTACACCCCTGGATAAAGAAAGTATCATAAACCACAATAGTGATTCTTAATACGGATCACCATGAAATTTCACAAAAATGCTAATAGAACATATGGACAAAAACCATATTAAAAAAAGGAGACTTGAAACAACACCCGAGACCTTCTGTCTCAATGACTAAGGCTTCTAAAATATTGACAAGATTGTTAGAAAAAATTTAGTATTAATTCAGTTGTTCTTGATATTATTATTATTCACATTATTCTTCTTTCACAAGCCTACAGAAGAAATGGCTATGAATATTTTATCCAAACCTACTAGAAAAACTTGTGTGCAGGTCATAGAACTATTTTTATGTTGACTCTTGAAGAAGGAGGAGAGATTTTATCAGTTTTTCATCACTACTGGCCAAGTTTCTCTGTGAAGCCATTTGAGTGCTGAAGCATACAGCAAAAATGGCTTGGTATACTGTGCCAAAACCTATGCACAGCTACTAAACAAACTCCCACGAAGGTTATAGATCAATTTTTAAGTTGATTCTTGAAAGTCGTGATTTTCACCCTCTAACATTTTCTAAGTTCTTCTTTGCTACCAAAATAAGCTCTCTGAAACTAATCAAACATCTAATAACGTAGAAGTCATTTAAACACCTTTTTACTAGTCAGGAATGCTCCATTTTATACAAGTTGGAAATGCTTCATTTTATTAGAGTAAACAACGTACATATGTAGCTTAAAACTTAATCACCCTAAATGGACATAAAAAATCTTAGGAAACAAGATAATTGAAAATTTTTAATTTAAGAAGGGGAATAGGGATCATCCAAGAAGTACAGAAAGAAGTTGAATCAAAATGCAAAAATTATATTTTGAAGCCTACAACTAGGGACTCTAAAAAAAAAAGTAAACAAACTAGGCTACATTATTTTATCAAACTATGAATCCCCTTTTTGTAGCTTGAGAAAATAATGTAGACACAACTTACTACCTAGTTTGTTTGTTTCTTCTTTTTTTTATTTTTTTTTTAGAGTTCCTATTCATAATCTTGAAAATATCTTTGCATCTTGATTCAACTTGTTTCTGTACTTTTTGGATGATCCCTATTTCCCTTTTTAAATTAACAATTTTTAGTTATCTTGTTTATATGAAATTATAAGAAAAGATTTAGTGGGTAGAGGAGAATCTTTTCCCCCCCCCATGATTTTCAGACCCTTGCCACATCACTTGTAGTGAAATATGGGTGAGTTTCTTTAATGAGTAAAAATATTGTAAAAGTTGAAAATTTGTATGTATTAACAGAATCTATAATAAATTATATAAATATCATAAGGTTTCTATTCCTTGACATACTGCTATTGCAGTAGTACCTTCTTCATATGTTTTTCAAAACTAATCACACAGGAACTGTTGGCAGAATTTTGTGGATTTTTACCGATGTCGCAAGGTGAAGGGAGACGATTATGAACCTTGCAATTACTTCAAGAAGGTCTACCAGTCTCTTTGTCCTAACAGTTGGGTAAGGAGATAAATTGTGTTTTGATAGACCAAGATACATCTGTGCAAATGATCTGTTCATTTTAAAATTTTCATAACTCGTCTTATTTTACTTTAAAAAAATGATGAAAGTTTTTCGGTGTGATTGTACCAGTTCTTGTTGATCCGGCCATAGTAACCTTATTTATAACCAAGAAAAGTTTATAGTCAAACAGTGTCTTCTCATGAGGACTTTTTTTTTTACATAAATTATAACTGCTTGGATTACAGTAAAAAGGTTTTGCCATCACTGACAAATTATTAATACCAACAAACAAATCTTTTAGTGTGATTCTGATTTGTGGAGTAGATAGATGGGTACTAAAAAAGACAACACAAGTATGAAACAAGACAAATCACCAGAATAATGAAGTCTAAAAATTTGTTTATTTTATTCACTTATTTTTTGTTAGACTTTTCCGTACAGGTTCCATTCTAAACAAAACTGCTAGCAGAGATTTTCTTACTCAGTACAAGATATTCCCAGGATGTAACTCTTTTTAACTGATATAAAAATAAAGCACTAAGATATACGTACAGTACACGTTGTAATTGATAAACACTTAGTGGTAGCATGAACATCCTTACCAAAAAAAACTGGATAAAAACACTGAATTATACACTTTAATGAATTTTTTTCTTTCTTTTTAACTAATATAAAAATTAAGCACTAAGATATAAGTACAGTACACGTTGTAATTGATAAACACTTAGTGGTAGCATGAACATCCGTAACAAAAAAACTGGATAAAAACACTGAATTATACACTTTAATGAATTTTTTTTCTTTCTTTTTAACTGATATAAAAATCAAGCACTAAGATATACGTACAGTACACGTTGTAATTGATAAACACTTAGTGGTAGCATGAACATTCTTACCAAAAAAACTGGATAAAAACACTGAATTATACACTTTAATGAATTTTTTTTCTTTCTTCTAGGTGGAAAAGTGGCAAGAACAGATAGAGGAGGGGAAATTTGCAGGAAAGATTTGAAGTATATTTTAGCAAAAGTTAAAAGATCGTAGCTAATCAAGATACAGTGACACGAATTCAGTTAATACATTAATGGAATTTCATTATAATTTATAGAAAAATAGTTGGAGAGCTACAATATAAAATAGAAATTAAAAACATAAAGAATGTAACTGTAAGACAAATTGTAAAAGAAAACTGTTCCTAAAAATAAAGGTGTATGAACACAAGTTGTTTTCTGTCATAAATACGATCAACGTGGGCACTATTAAGAACGAGGCTCGTAGTTCTGTGCGTAATGTTTATTTCCAGCATATTATTGTAGCTCACTCTCCAGGAAGCTCTTAACCCAAATAAAAACATTAAAAAATTAAATGTACCTGTCACTGTTTGTTGGATTTGTTAATTTTTTAGCTTTGCATTGTCTTGATTTTTTAGTGACAGGTCTTGGGAAAGCTAAATATTGAGTCAAGTATTTTCTCAATATAATATATTCAAATAACTATTTTGAAAAAAGAAGAGACATGATGAAGAGTTGCATATATTATCTAAAAGGTGTAATTTGTGGAAGTACATATAGTTTTACATCATATGAACATTACACATCATCCTTGACTGTATTATCAATCACGTGAGTCGTATTTCTCAACGTATACGAGACAGTTGTTACATGTCATCCTTGACTGTATTATTATTAACAACGTGAGTCGTATTTCTCAACGTATACGAGACAGTTGTTACATGTCATCCTTGACTGTATTATTATTAACAACGTGAGTCGTATTTCTCAACGTATACGAGACAGTTGTTACATGTTATCCTTGACTGTATTATTAATAACGTGAGTCGTATTTCTCAACGTATACAAGATAATTCTTACATGTCATTCTTGACTGTATTATTAATCATGTGAGTCGTATTTCTCAACGTATATAAGACAATTCTTACATGTCATCCTTGACTGTATTATTAATCACTTGTCGTATTTCTCAACGTATACAAGACAATTCATGCATGTCATCCTTGACTGTATTATTAATCACTTGTTGTATTTCTCGACGTATACAAGACAGTTGTTACATGTCATCCTTGACTGTATTATTAATCACTTGAGTCGTATTTCTCAACGTATACAAGACAGTTGTTACATGTCATCCTTGACTGTATTATTAATCACTTGAGTCGTATTTCTCAACGTATACAA